ATGGCTCTATATAAAGGTAAATTCTGAATCAGAAAGTATGCGCGAAGGGTTTTTTTCTTATTTTCAGAGATCAGCAACATTCAGCAGATCGCGGCCACGTGCTTTCTTTCTAATATGACCTGGATACAGATGTTCTCAGACATGCCAAAATCCGCCGATTAGGTTGATTGAGGGGGATCTGAAACCATTTCACTTTTCCATATGTATACTTTAATACCGGTATAGCCAAGGTATTGGCTGTTTTTAGTACCAGTGTGAGGCGCATATTGAACGTGGTTATTGCATTCTCTTTCACTTGATTAGAATTGGTCTAGAGGACTTCCTGAAATCCTAGAGGTTTATAAAACGCTTCCGCGATTAGTTCTTGAATTTCTGTCTGCGGGATGCAGGTTTTTTGGTTGCAACGACTTTCCACGTTTATAACACAGAACTGCAGCTTTATAGTAACCGAATTCCATTCCGATAGGGCAGCCAAATTTTGGCACCATCTCGAATATATATTTCAATTCTTGTTCATTTCTATCGTGTAGTTTCAGGTCATCCATGTTGAAAAGGTGGGAGGGTTTTGTATTTTTCTTCGTAATAACGTAGCCGTATCCTGATGTCTTTAACATCGTTCTAAGCGGGTTTAATGCTAAACAGAATCAGAGAGGACTGAGGTTGTATCCCTGAAAATGCCCCTTCTGATACGGGTAATTTCCGTTTTATACTGATATGGACCTCTTCCAACAGGTTTGGTAGCCACCACCGTTTCTTTAAGTGACATGTTCCTGTCTGTTCTTAAGTAAGGTCTATTATTTCAGTTATTATGTTTGACGTTTTTATTAGAAGTTATTCAAAGTACGTTATTTTACGGTTTATGTATTACTGACCAGTTTAATTGAATAATTATTGTTATCAGATAAAGTTGTTTTAAACTTTTATTTTTTTAAGGAGTTCATTACTGTAGAGTTTCGGATCTCCGTCTATTAAAGCTGTAAGTGTAGATCGTCTAATTATTTAAATAGTTGTGATTTTTTATTGTTAGTAGCTTCGCAGTTAAGTTAAATTTAAATTTGTAGCAGCTGCCAAAGTTGATCATTATGACATCAAGAAAAGTGGGCTAGAATCGTTTGCCCTTTCAGTACTGAACTCTGCGTTTTCAAAGAAAAGGCTAAAAAAAAGTCTAGAAGGTTATTTTTTGTCACCAGTGTGGTTGATGACCAAAACATAGACTGTTGAAAACCCTTGGGAACAGACCTATATTGGTCTCCCGGGTTCTATTTTCAAATTGCGTCGTAAAAATTATCAGCAAGGATGGAGAGAGAGAGGGTTTCCCGTGGGTGCCTATTTGGTCTGTTTGAAGAGTCCGCCATCGCTGTAGAAATAATTTGCCTCTGCTATGCAAGAATTGTTATTAATTTTATGACAGTATTAACTGACAGATTAATGCGCTGTTTAAGTGAATTTCTGTTAGAAAATATTAACATGAATAGGAACGTTGGTAAACAGATGTTTTGCATCGTCCCCGACAACGAATAAAGTTACTGAATTTGACATAATGGTGGCGTCAAGCGACTAACATGGCATTTTCAATTGCACAAATGATAATCAGCAAAAAATCGTTGTGCGATATATTGATCTTCATCGAAATTAAAAATTTTGCTAAATTAATCTAACTTGCCGTTAAGAATTAGAATTGCCATTAATTCGGCTCTATGAAAAAGAAAGAGGTATGTGATACTAACGACGCAACTCAATGGACTTGGGATGGAAAGTGATGGTAATTACCCTAGTTATGGTATCTCGACGTTGTAAATCGGTTTTACGGAACTTCGACTGTGATGGACATTTACAACGATTTGTCCAACCGCGTGTTTTTCAGTTAAACGTAAGGTCAACGTAAGGTACAGCTAGCTACTGTTGTCCCATATTCTCTGTGTATGGTAATGAGCTATAATGAATTTGAGTAGATTTGCGTCAACCTCCAATCTGACACATCGTTTAATAAGATAAAGTTATATAGCAAATCTGTATTACTCTACTGTCCATGTTTTGATAGCCGTATGTGACAGATTTGACGGTAGCTTCCAAGCGAAACCAGCGACATCTGGTTTTGTCATACGAACTCGTTACTGGCGATTTAAAAGCTAAGCACCCCTTATGACCTTTACGAGAATTGGCGTTGAAACCTCTGTCCTTTTATGTCAGTTTCACTCTGCTTACGCACCGTTCATCTTACAACACTCGTTAGCGAACTGGTAACAATTGCACTTGGTTGTTTTTTTGGGGCGAATTTAGGGAAGATGTTTGAACTGTCGAGGGCATAACGTTGATATGTCAGACGATCACCGTGAACATGCACAGAGCTATAGCGACGAATATGCGTTCCTTTGTTCATGCATACTTATTCATCAATTTATTCATTAATTTTTAAAACCTATTTTTGGGATTATCAGTAGCATAAAGCAGAACTGGATTTAGAAGATCTACCATAAATCTTATCATCTTTAGAGTATAATTTATCGCATTTAAGATGACTTGCGATTTAATTTTGGTCAGCTTGCGCGGTACCTGCTTTTCTCCACCGCTGATGACGAATAGTTTACCAAGTTTGTTTGCTGATTAGTATTCAGAGTTCATTTTCTCTCCAAACGATCCGCAAGCCCGTGTTTTTGCTAACCTCTATGTCCAGTACGCGATGGAAACCAGCGCTTGTTTGCAGGTCAGGTAGAAACTCTCTCTCCCTCCCCCACGGAAACTCCATCTTTCGGTTTCCTTTCCGATTCCCTAGGCTTGGTTGGGTATTGTTGATACGAAGGATGCTACTATGTATTAATAGTTTTAGTAGTAGATAGAACACGCATAACTTATAATTAAGTTTTTTGGTGTACTGCACTATTGATGAGAACTCTAGATACCTACGGCAGCAAATCATGCTGGCCACGTTCCATTTTATTTGATGGCCTATACGTCAGTAGCAAGACAATAGCGGATTCCGCCGTGAAATTCGGTTTTACAAGAACAAGTCGCTTACTGACCAGCTCAAGTGTAGGAATGCGAACGAGCCCATATTTTTAAAATTTGCCATAGGAATAGTGTTATTATAATGGTATTGTTTATATTAGGAGGCCTTTGCATCGGTGCTGTTATGAATTCGAAGGCGCGATAGGGGCAATTTTTTGTTATGGATGGAGTCGTTTGATTCTTGATCTACACTGGGCAATCTTTCAGGTTGCTTAGGTGTTATTATTTGTTACATAGCAGTCCATACCATTAGTCCCAATAGCATACTGAACTAGTATTACATTTACTACAGTATTTAATTGTAACAGGTTCTGTATAAAACAAGCGTTAAATCTCATTAAATCCATCGACCTGAAAGCTCTCGTGATTCTTATTTGAATTTATAGTCTCTATTGCGAAATTTTTGGTTTTTTCGTTTCAGGTGGCCCAAAATTTCAATGCAATTATGCAGAGGAAGAACGAGGCGAACGCCCTGCAGGATGCCTCGAAGAAAAAGCCAGGCTACAGAGAGCCTTCGATTTGGCATGTAAGTGATTGTTATTAATTTGTCTATCATCCGCAGGGTCTTCTTTGATTTGTTTTATTTTTCAGCTGGCAGCAAAGCCGAAAGCGCAAGATTTATGGTTCAGAGAACTTTCAGGCAGCAAGCCATTATCGATATTAGGGAAGCGGGTATGATAGTGGCTTAGGAATTCTAAATTATTGCTTCTTTTAAAAACTAACTGCAAATGCTCCATTAATCGGAATTTGAATGTTTGGATATTAATGTTCTGTAGCATTGAACTATAATTTGTACGATGTGCCGTAAGTGTTTAAATTTGGTTTATTTCGTTATTACGGATTTAAGTTGTCGTTTCGTCTTCCAAAATTCAACTCTTTATTCGTATTATAGAGGTTGGATGATGATCGAAACATTGAACTTTACTGCTGGAATGAGATCGCTAAAAAACCGCTTTTCAGCGTTAATAAATGAAACAAGCACAAATTAGCAAAGCAAATATATGCAGTAAAACCAAAGGAAACAAAATCTGGAGCGAATCTGAGAACACATTTATTGTCGTTGGTTGATTGTTGATAGCGTATAATGAAGGAAAGAATCACACTGTCGTTGATGTTTACAAAGATTGAGTTTTTCGTTACTTTTGGCTCCAAACGTTGCAACAACCGCGAACCACAGAATGAACTGCTTAAATATTAACCCAGTCCATCTTGAAGAAAGCCCGTGAGATATACATCCAAAACTTCGGTAATGGTTATTCACCAGATTGACCAGTTTGCATGTGTTGTAAATAAATAAACCGTTTTTATAAAGTTTTCAGCTTTTGATGTTCAGATCTTTGCGAACATTCAGAAATCACAAACTGCACCCTATATTTGAACTGCCGCTTTGGATATCCAAAATTTTGTGCCAAACAGTTGACCCTGAAAAGAAACGGCATTACCGCTGTCGAATATTACGATAAATTGCATTTTCAACCTGGGTTTGAATCGGGCTCGTGACAGGCCGAAGTAGGATAGGTCCATGAGTTACGGCAGTTTTATCCTCAGACGTTGAAGCAGCCGTAATGCTCTGTTTGAACCTTCAAAAGTGAGGTGGCTGGTGGTTTGTAGACTGATTCGAATTTCATATCCTGTAATTGAGGTTTTCTAGAAGAAATTTTATCAGACATATAGGTGAATGAAGAGGATAGAGTTTACACTTTTTAGCCATGCTCAAAGAAGGTCCATTTTCACTGTCGTAACATTCCATCTGACTTCTGGACAGAGAAGCGCAGCATCAGTTCGATTTTGCATGGCAGCAACTAGGTCAGATGACATATGGCTTACGGTCTGTAGAGGCGTAGCGGTACGTCGCTTACGTCTGTTGTTAAAGAGTTTCAGTTTTAAATGGGAATATCTAAAAGATACCCATCATAAGAATACTCCAAGTCTTATTGTTTTTGTGAAACTTACATATCATTGCTCACTTTTTTCTGTTTGTAATTTATTGCCTATTGCTTCTGCATTGGCATGGTCCACGGATTCGCTTAACCAACTGCCAAGGTAGTTGTACATTCGAAAAGCTGCAATTTGTATGCTTTGCAGGTATGCGCGGCGCCACTGAGATATATGAAAAGTTAGAGGTGTTTTTCACTCGCTACGGCAGGTAGGATATGGAAATGACTGATTTTAACCGATCGATCTGTAGAATCAAGAGACAGCTGAGCGAACGGTAGTGTAAAGGTATCTGTTTTCAAGCCTGTTCAACAACTTCCTCTTCTATGCTTATGAGTGTAGGATGATTACTGAAAGAAGGCGATTCCGCATATGAGAGAATGAAAAGAAGTTCCTTCGATGAATTTCTCGTGTAATGAGGCTCAGCAAATTTCAAAATATGGCAGTCTGTAGTGCCATCCTTTTTGAAAGGGAACAAATGATTGTTGTTACCTGCCAGTCTCCCTAATACTTCTATAGCGGGATGTCAGTTCTGGTATGGTACTTCTATCG